TTTTTTATCTTTTCATCTTCTTACACATTTCGACTGCAGAACTGGCTGGTGCATCAGATGATCTACGTCAACGTCTTATTCCGGAACTGGCAAGGACATAATGATCGAATGAGACGGCATTTATAGGCATATTGTAAATTGGTTTTGGATGATTAGTTGCCATCACACCACCCGATTTCCTGTTTATTCGAAGTTGACAATGAAGCCAATCACCTATGTATATGTATATATATATCCACATACACTATAAACGAATATGGTGATGAGTGTTGGGGGAAACGGGTTATTTCCCATACGAACGTAGTTTTAAAATTGACCTAAAATGTCAAGATTAAAACCATCAAAGGTTACACAGCGGATAAACCTATCAAACAATTGAATATTGAAACACAATGGAAAAGAACCGAATAAAAAACAATAAAGGAGAGAACACACCAAATTTACGAGGTTCGACGAGAATATCGTCTATTCCTCGGGCACCACACCGAATGATAACTTCACTATATCGCCAATATTACAACAAATGTAATTCTTTGGAATTCCCAAAGTGGGAGAATGAAGAATACAAGAGGAAGAGAGAACTTGTTTTTGGGATGATTTCTAATGGAAATACTTAGGCCTATTTATAGTTGAGTTTCAAGAACAATATGTTCAAAGTTTGGCCACCTACCAAAGAATTTTCCAATGTGTACAAGTTAGCCACCAAATATGAAATTCACATGTTCAAAGTTTGGCCACCAACCAAGATGAAATTTCCAATAAGTTGGCCACCAACCAAGATGAAATTTCCAACTTGTCAACTTAAGTTCTAGACAAATCTAAAAAATCTCCACCTTGGCTTGAAATTACCAAGCCTACTCAACTTCTCCAACTCCCCAAATTTGTAGTGCCTCTAATTGCGCTCACAAGCGCCACACACCCGAAGGTGTTCATACTTTCAGGATGTTAATCAAGTTCAAACAATGATTGAACTTGATTACTGTTACCACCTTGGTCATCATATCTGCAGGATTTTCTGATGTCGCAATTTTCTGAAGTAGAATCTTTCCTTCTTCAAAGATCTCCCGCATAAAGTGATACCTCACGTCGATATGCTTAGTCCTTGAATGGTAGACTTGATTTTTCGCTAAGTGAATATCGCTCTGACTGTCACAATAGAGACTAATGTGACTTTGAACAACTCCCAAGTCTTCCATCAACCCGTTAAGCCAAATTGCTTCCTTTACAGCCTCTGAAACTGCCATGTATTCTGCCTCTGTAGTAGACAATGCCACCGTAGATTGCAATGTAGACTTCCAACTTACTAGGGCTTTAGCAAGAGTAAACAAATACCCAGTAGTTTATCGACGCTTATCCAAATCACCAGCATAATCGGAATCAACATATCCAACAATACACTGACCAAGTGCTTCATCCTGTTCAAAAACTAAACCAACATCCACGGTTTGTTGGAGATACCGTAGAATCCATTTCACAGCTTGCCAATGTCCTTCTCTAGGATCATGCATGTACCTACTCACAACTCCAACTGCTTGTGAAATGTCAGGACATATACACACCATTGCATACATCAAGCTCCCAACTGCATTAGCATATGGAACTTTTGTCATATACACTCGTTCTTCGTTAGTTTTAGGAGATAATTGAGAACTAAGTTTCAAATGAGAAGCCAATGGGATACTTACATATTTGGTATTTTCATTCATGCCAAAACATTGTAATACCTTTCTCAGATACTGCTTCTGTGTTAAACAAAGCTTCCCTCTCTGTCTATCTCTGTTTATCTCCATACCAAGAATCTTCTTGGCTTCACCTAGATCTTTCATCTCAAACTCTTGATTCAACTGAGCCTTTAATTTGTCTATCTCCTTTTGACTCTTCGAAGCGATCAACATATCGTCAACGTACAAGAGAAGATAAATGAAAGATCCATCTTTGAGCTTTTGCAAATACACACAATGATCATATTTGCTTATAGTATACTTTTGCCTCCTCATAAAGCTATCAAATCGCTTGTACCACTGCCTCGGAGATTGCTTCAATCCATATAGCTATTTGTTTAGCTTACAAACCCATTTCTCACAACCACCATCTTTGTATCCTTCTGGCTGTGTCATATAGATCTCCTCTTCTAAATCACCGTGCAAGAAAGCCGTCTTTACATCAAGTTGAGCTAGCTCCAAATTCAACTGTGCTACTAAGGCCAACAATATTCTAATGAAGGAATGCTTCACAACAGGGGAAAATACTTCATTGTAGTCGATTCCCTTCTTTTGAGCGTAGCCTTTAGCTACCAACCGTGCCTTGTAGCGAACATCTTTCTTGTTATGAGATCCATCTTTCTTTACAAATACCCACTTGCATCCAATGGCTCTTTTACCTTTCGGTAATTGTGCCAGTTTCCAAGTGTCGTTCTTTTGGAGAGATTGCATTTCTTCATCCATGGCACTTTTCCACTTATCACTTTTCAAGCTTTGTATTGCTTCTTGGTAAGTGATAGGGATATCATCATCAACAACTGGAAGAGCATAGGCCACCATATCAACAAATAGAGCAGGTCTACGAATTTCTCTCCTTGGCCTTGTAACTGCAAGTGTTTCTGGTGTCTCCAATGGTTCTTAGGTTTGAACCTCTTCATCTTCTGATTCTTCTATTGGAGTTGAAGAATCAGCTACATCAACTTTTGGGATCATCATCTGCTGAAACTCCACCTGTTTTGGAGTATGCTCCACCTGCTGCGGAGTACTACTTGTCTGGACAGCTTCACTTGTTACCTTCTTTACTAGGGCAGATTCATCAAAGGTAACATCTCTGCTACAAATTACCTTCTTGGTGTCTAAACACCAAAGGTGGAATCCCTTCACTCCATGGGTGATTCCCATAAAGAGAGCCTTCTTTGCTCTCGGATCAAGCTTGGATTCCTTCACATGATAATAAGCAGTGGATCCAAATACATGTAAGGAATCATAATCAGTAGCAGGTTTTCCAGACCATACCTCCAATGATATTTTTTCTCCTATCGCTGATGACAGCAGACGATTAATGAGATGGCCATCATATGTCACAACCTCAGCCCAAAATGCCTTGCCTAACCCAGCATTAGACAACATACATCAAACTTTCTCCAATAGTGTTCGATTCATACGCTCTGCCACCCCATTCTGTTGTGGTGTATGTCTAACAGTGAAGTGTCGAACAATACCATACTCATGGCAAACGTCAAAGAATGGGTCACTTTTATATTCCCCTCCATTGTCTGTCCTAAGACGTTTGATCTTTCTACCAGTCTGGTTCTCGATCATATTTTTCCATTTCAGGAAATTTTGAAGCACTTCATCTTTAGACTTCATCGGATACACCCAAACTCTTCTGGAAAAGTCATCTACAAAAGTTACAAAATAATAGTTTCCTCCCAAAGACAATGTCTTTGAAGGACCCCATACATCTGAGTGAATATAATCTATAATACCTTTTGTATTATGTATAGTGGTGCCAAACTTCACTCTCTTCTGCTTTCCCAGAACACAATGCTCGCAAAAGTTCAATTTGCAAGCCTTTGCACCTTTCAACAATCCTTTCTTTGCCAGAATTTGCAAGGATTTCTCTCCAGCATGTCCCAACCGCATATGCCACAACTGGGTTGCGTCCAAATCATCACCTCCGGAAGCTGCTGTAACTGCTCTAATAATTGTACTACCTTGGTAGTAATACAAATTATTTTTCTTGATGCCCTTCATCATCACAAGTGCGCCATATGTGACTTTTAAAACTCCATCTCTCATAGTGACTACTGAGCCTTTGGATTCTAAGGTTCCCAACGAGATGAGATTTTTCTTCAAACTGGGCACGTATCGGACATCCGTCAGAACTCTGGTTGATCCATCTTGATTCTTCAATCGAATTGAACATATCCCAATAGTTTAACAGGCATTGTCATTGCCCATATAAATAACTCATGCATTTAGTTCCACTATATCGGAGAACCACTCCCGATTAGGGGACATATGATAGGTGCAACCCGAATCTAATATCCACTCATCGGAATGGAATGTTGTTGATGAATCAACCAATGATATGTCAGAGTCATATGCATCATGCTCTGTAACACATGCATCTGGAGCAGCTTTTCCTTTCTTCTTCAGCTTCGGACAATCTTTCTTCCAATGGCCTTTCTCATGACAAAAGGCACATTCATCTTTTCCCAGTCTGGACTTCGACTTTGATCTCCCTCTCCACTTTGGCTTTTGACTTTTCGAGCGACCTCTTGCCACCATGGCCTCTGCTGCTTCGTACTTGCTCTCCTTCTTGGTTTTCTTCCTGAGTTCATAACTATACAAAGCAGCAGTTACATCTTTAAGGGTAACATTATCCTTACCATGAAGTAACGTTGTCTCAAGGTGCTCAAATTCATCTGGAAGATATGACAACAACATCAAAGACAAATCTTCATCTTTGAATGTTTCATCCATGCCCAATAAGTCTTCCACTAGCTCATTGAACGCAGTGATGTGTTCATTCATACTGGTGCCTGGTTGATAATCAAATCTAAACAATCTTTTCTTCATGTGGAGACGATTCTGAGAGCTTTTCTTCAGGAATTTTTCCTCCAAAGCTTTCCACATCTTACTTGCAGAAGTCTCATTCTTGTAGTCATACTTCTGCTCCCTGAAAAGACAAGATCGAATCGTGCTACACGCCAAACGAATTATTGTTCCCCATTCTTTCTCCTTCATATATTCGGGCTTTTCTTCCTCAATGGCGATGTCTAGACCTTGTTGGAATAAAGCGTCTAACACCTCGCCTTGCCACATGCCAAAATGACCGGATCCATCGAACTACTCCACCAAGAAATTTGCATTTGACATCACCCTCCTCACCGGTCCAGATGAAGAGCTTGATGTCTCAACTGATCCGTATTTTGGCATTTTAATTCTAACGAACAATATTCAATATCACGAACTGTATCTTTTCAGCAACGGAACCACCAGGATAACCTCAACCGAAGCTCTGATGCCAATTGTTGGGGAAAACGGGTTATTTCCCACACGAACGTAGTTTTAAAATTAACCTAAAATGTCAAGATTAAAACCACCAAAGGTTGCACAGCGGATAAACCTGTCAAACTATTGAATATTGAAACACAATGGAAAAGAACCGAATAAAAAATAATAAAGGAGAGAAAACACCAAATTTACGAGGTTCGACGAGAATATTGTCTACTCATCGGGCACCACACCGGATGATAACTTCACTATATCGCCAATATTACAACAAATGGAATTCTTTGGAATTCCCAAAGTGGGAGAATGAAGAATACAAGAGGAAGAGAGAACTTATTTTTGGGATAATTTCTAATGGAAATACTTAGGCCTATTTATAGTTAAGTTTCAAGAACAATATGTTCAAAGTTTGGCCACCTACCAAAGAATTTTCCAATGTGTACAAGTTAGCCACCAAATATGAAATTCACATGTTTAAAGTTTGGCCACCAACCAAGATGAAATTTCCAATAAGTTGGCCACCAACCAAGATGAAATTTTCAACTTGTCAACTTAATTTCTAGACAAATCTAACAATGAGGTATGCTAGCCAAATAGGTTTTTGGGTCCTTTTCTCATGTATATATACGTGCTCTGGCTGTCGTATATAGTTATCTTAGTAGCACTCATTATTCATAAACCCAGAATTTTCAAACAGAAGATTTAGAACTTCTTACATTGTATAAATTTCATACTACCATTACTTCAGAGATATAAAATTTCCATGAAATCTGCTGCTAACTTGTGTACTCTAGAGAACATAAAATATTTGTTTTTAAAAAATAGTGGTTGAATTTTCTCTGCTTTTTTCGGAGAAATCTCTATAAAAATATGAAGAGCTTGAAGAAGATGAAGGAAAATGAATACTCGACCTGCCACGGATAGAGGAAGATTTATTCAATTATATAGTTTGGTGTCCTAAGATATGGCACCCATGGAATTTTCTGTTTGATTGCATTGAAAGGCTCAACGTAAAAGAAGTACTAGCAAAGAACTGTTGTTATTCTTTAAGTTCTTAGATTTAAGGATTAGAAATGTCAGATATTCGATACCAAACCGTTGAGAGTTATATATTCAATGCATTCGGTTATTGTTCAATCATCGTAATAAATAAGAACAGTGATGAGAAATACTCCTATATAAAAGCATAAGGAAAATCTCATAGAACCCTGGGATCTATTAGTCTACCATTTTTATTTTCCATTCTCACTATTTAAGAAGTTCAGTTTCATCTTTCGTGACTTCCGATAACCTTCATTTGTTCTTTCATAGAATCCAAATAAATGTTTTCTGTTATCAACTGATTTTTTGTTTTGCATCCCCTAACTTGAACGTAGATCAAATAACAGCCTCTGCAGATCGTTGTTCTTGACCTGCAATTTCTCTTAGGTAGCCCAATCATCAAATATCCCTTCCCCTTTTCGCTCATTTATTGTTATTGTTATTCTTTTCTTTCCATTATGGTGTACTTTTTTTAGTTCTTTATTAGATCTAATTACTTTTGTGGTCAGAGATTCAATCCATCGATCGATTAAATTTGGGCAAAAAAATGGGAGGGGGAGAGCATGGGCAAGGGCATGGACCATGGAGCTGAGGATTTCAGGAAGAAGGTGTGGAGCATGTCCGGAGGTCCATACTGCCTCCCCAAGCACTGGCGTCGCAACACTGCCTTTGCCATGTTCGGCGTCTTCCTCATCTGCATCCCTATTGCCGTGAAATCAACCGAGCTCGAGGTTTATTAATCCTACCTCCCCCGCTGTTCTATCTTTATTACTGTTTTTAATCGCTATTTAGAAATAAAACCTCTGTTAGCACTAACTAATTGAAATTGTTGGCTCTAAGTTTAAAGCATTTTGAGATGATTCGAACTTTTATAAAGTGTTCATGCTAAGTCTTTGGTTATGGATGTGGTCAATCATGTAGTCAGGGACGAAGCCAGGAAAAAATGCCCGGGGGGGGGGGAATTAAAAAAAAATTCAAAGACCAAAATACATTTTTAACATTGTATTAATTTAGTTTTACCGTTTTTGAATGGATTAAATTCTAGGGTTATCATTTTAGTGGGGGGATATAATTTTACCATATAATACTTTAAAAAGTTACAATTTTGAAGGGACTAAATAACAACTCTACCGGTTATGGTTGATATAAAATTTAGGTAAAAGCTTGAGATTTGATATGTAAACAACGATAGAAGTGGATATGAAGGTCAATCATGATAATCCCTTTTGAATAAGGCTATCAGTTATCTGTGTGATCGTTCAAACATTTAGTTGACTGTTTTTGTTAAATTTTGTCTTGAAAAATAGTTTTGATGTTCATTAAATTTTCTCTCGGTTTCATCATAACCCATAAATGATGTCGAGAAGCTCGAGTTTTTCTCGTAGCTGCTAGATTGACAATTATTCTTGAATGAATAGCAATAGACCTAATGCTTCCCGGTTTTATATGATTATATGATTTATGGCTTCGTGTTGTCTCATCCGATATCCACAAGTCGGCTTCCTCAATGACATTTACTCTGCATGCTTGTATGTTAGAAGTAGACTATATCTACGCCTTCCAAGATGATCAATTTGTCATTGGCAGAATGTTATGTTGTTTCTTCATCAAATTATTGAATGAAATGCCCATATTCATATTGCTTTAGTATGCACTTTTTATCTCCTTAAGTGGTCCTATGGTCTCAGCTGATCAAACTAGTTTGTGTAGAAATTAGATGTATAGAGCAATGAGTCGCTTTGAAACTTTAACTAAATCGGGTGATTTCTTCTGAACATGCATGTCTTTATTTATCCCCATACCTTGTATTACCATATCAATATGTCATTTTTGTTGCAGCAACGGCCTCATGAGCCTGTTCGTCCGATTTCTTCACAGCTCTGGTGCAAGAACTTCGGGAACAAAGATTATTGAAGTTTGGCTGGGGCCGTTGATGAAAGTACCAATGGCGCTTCAAACCAGCATGAGTTTGGCCCAGTTTAGCAAACATGTACTTGTTTATTTGCAGTGGATTTGATAACTTTATCAATAAGTTGTGTTGAGCTTGTTTTGGTTTCACTGTGATATCGACAAATCTTGAAGTTAGCTGATTGTAAGTTCTGATGTTTTTGTTAATATCATTACAATCACGTTTCAGTTGTTTTTGGATTATTTGGTCCCGTCAAGATTCCCAGAAGTTACAGATTAAATAAAATGAGTTGGGATTACCAGAAGTTCTCACATCAGAGAGAACATTTTATTTATTTATTCGTCACATCTTAAAGCATCCACTTTGTCGATGCAGATGCACATCTCACACTACTGTCTCTTATTGTTTTGCATTGATTAGTTAGCTCGTGTCGAAGAAATTTGATCTTTAGTCTTGTTGAGTTGTTCCTTTGCATCTAAAATATTCAAAGATACGCATGAACATTAAAAAAAACAAAAATCAGGAAAACTGAAATAACCATTCTACTAGTAGACTAATGGATCATTTTTCGAAGGATAAATTATGAATGCTGCGCATATATCTTAAGAGAGGGGGTAGGATCCATTTCATGACTAATTTTTTTTACTCTACATCTTTTCAGATAGTTGAATGAATAGAAATAAATGAATAGTATCGTTTAGACGATTATTAGTATACCGTTTCTATTATTATATATGCATGCCCATCTCGTCCAAAGCTTCAATTTATTTTTGAATGGTGCCATACTTCTTGTCATAGGGCCTGCAATTAAACCTGGAACCAAGTGGAAAAGCTAAATATTAATGGCATAATGCAGAAAGCCAAAAATGTGTCTTACTCATCCAAACATTGAATAAGCTCTGTTTGTCCATACCATATAATAGAATCAGTGAAAACAAATTTTCTTTAAAAGAACGTACTTGTAATTTTTGATAAGTATTCAGCGAATAAAAAACCATTACACTAGATAACAAACATTAAATTTCATTTAAGCAGAGTAGAGTAGACGCATTACTTGAACTACAGTTTACCTTAAAAATCATTAGAACTGGAATTGGGTGGGGTGCGCCAGGCCTAAGCAATAGTGCAACACTTGGGCAACGCTCGAGGGCACCAGTAGCAAGCTACTGTAGTGAGCCCTCCCCCTCAAAAAATAAATTTAATATCGTGTGGGCCATTGACCCACGTATCAGATATTAAACTGATAAGAACAGATACTACACTTGATCTTAGCCAAAAGGCCGAGAAAGGTATGAGTTCTCCAGTCCAACCCGGCTTCTTTTAAATGCACCTTCTGGCCTCGTTTCTTTATATTCTAAAGATGTGGGATAGGACAATACAATATATTCAGCGCCCTCGTTGTAAGTGAATTGCTCCCGGGAACTAAAGGCTGAACGGAACAGAACACCTTTGATTTTACAGGCAATTCATTGGAGATGATCTTTCTCCTTCTATTCATCCCCCCACAAATCTCCGTCTTCCATTTCTGGTTTCATCTTTTTTCTTCATGTCTATATGATCTTAAAAATAACAGCTAAAAACACAATATTTGAAATCGATCTCTTTGCTTTTAAGATTCACAGTTTAACTTAAACATGAGATTCGATATTAAAGATGTATGCCTGTGCTTTTGTTTCACTGTTTTAACTCGAGATTTCCGATATCCCGTCAAAAAATCCCAGTCAGAAAATTTCAGTTTATCCCCACCTTTTCTCTGGTTCTAAATTTCCATTTCTTATCATAAGAGTGTGGCTTTTATGTTTTTCAATTTTAAAGCTTTGTAATTTTGATGGCAGGAGGAGGAAAATTAATAAACTTCAATGGCTGTCAGAAAACCTGGTTTGATTGCTTTATTTGATGTTGATGGAACTCTTACAGCTCCAAGAAAGGTACTTAATCTCCTCCTTAATCCCCTAAATTTTGGTGATATGATTTTTGGGTTTTTGAATTTAAGTGGAGCTCTTGGCATTGTATTTTCTTCATTTCTTCTTTACCGTTGAGTGTATCATTGATTTGGAATGGTAAATAGGTGGCTACTCCCAAGATGTTAGAGTTCATGAAGGAACTGAAGAAGGTAAATATTGTAATTTTAGAAAGAAAAAAAAAAGACATTTTTGGAAGGGAATTTATCATGTTTTATTTCAATTGTAGGCTGTTACTGTTGGAGTAGTGGGTGGATCTGACCTCGCTAAAATATCTGAGCAACTCGGGGAATCAGGTTTTCTTCAGCTCTAGACATTGTACTTGTAACTATGAAATGTTGTTCTTTCATTGTTTCTCTATGTTTGTTAACCATAGTTTACATTTTCGATGTAGTTGTTGTTAATGACTATGATTATGTATTTTCTGAAAATGGGCTTGTTGCTCATAAAGATGGAAAACTCATCGGCACCGAAGTATAACTCACAGCATGCAATGTCTCGGTCCATTTAAGGTGATCTACATTTCTCTAACGAGTCTCTTTTTCCGGTTTCCAGAGCTTGAAATCGTTCTTGGGAGAAGAAAAGCTTAAGATTAGATTTCCCCCCTTCTTAGATGTGATCATATCCTATTGAAGATCTATAAAGGATTGCATAATGAAAAATCTCAGGATATACTGTTGTTAGGATGCCATTGACTTCTATTAGCAATTTATGATTAGTGCTTCTGATGTCTACCTAAATGTCCGATTAACGATGATATCGAGAACCCCTTCTATCTTTATGCTCTTCTTTATCAAAATTGAATGTGGGATGACTAGAGTATCCGATTTTCACATAGTTCAAGTGCTGTTTGAATGATAGGTCAAAATACTGCATCTGCAGAGAATATATTGACGTATGTTCTCAAGTATTTGCTCATAGATTGCAAATGATTGTGCAGGAATTTATAAACTTTACACTGCATTATATTGCTGACTTGCATATCCCAATAAAAAGGCGAGGAAGAACGAAGTTCATATCTAAGTCTAGTTGAACTCCATGCATTTTCTTTTTATCATTTGTGCTAAATAACACCAGCCCTTTATCAACTTTTTGTTTAGGGGCACATTCATAGAATTCCGAAGTGGGATGCTTAATGTATCTCCAATTGGGCGAAAATGCAGCCAAGAGGAAAGGGATGAATTTGAAATGTATGACAAGGTAAATATACCGTATGGAACTTGTAGTTTTATAGTGTAGATCTTATAGATGTATGCTTACACAAATACAAACGCTTTGCTTCCAGGTTCACAACATCCACCCGAAAATGGTTTCGGTGCTTAGAGATAAGTTTTCTCACCTCAACTTGACATTCTCAATTGGGGGACAAATAAGCTTTGACGTGAGCAACACATACGATTTGCAGTTAAACATATTTGAGTACTGGTTCATTGAATTGATCATTGCTGCGTTTTTCTCATAACAGGTTTTCCTACTGAGTTGGGACAAAACATACTGCTTGAGATACCTTGAAGAATTTAAAGAGATTCATTTCTTTGGTGACAAAACTTACAAGGTTGGTTTCTTATTCGATTCAAATCTTACGATCACCATGCTCTGCAGTTCAGACCACATAGATATACTGTCATCACCCTTTGGTCATCGGCTTTCTTTCAATCTATACCTTAATTATGTTCACATAAGTTTATGTGCTTTCATGTGGCCTAACGATATTGCCTCGGTGTTTTGTGATCAGGGGGGAACGATCATGAAATTTATGAATCAGATAGAACAGTAGGACACACAGGCCAGTTATGCATTGAAAGTCCACATTACTCTAAAACACAGCAAAATTTTCCAAAACATTTATGCCAATGAAAGCTTCAGGCTTATTATTACTATTTTTGCAGTTGCCAACCCTGTGGATACAGCGGAGCAGTGCAAAGCACTCTTTATGAGCAACCCTTGAACAGCTGAAACTTTGCTCTTTGATATACCCATTTTCCGTACCCTGTGTTGGCTATCAATGTATGTGATTTCATGAGTCACGGTTAAAGTTTGCAAGGAATTACCAACGAGGTTGGTTCAAGTGATAAGTAATTTGATATTGCTTAAGTAAATTCTCGAGTTCGAGCCTTTGTGTATACAGCAAATCGACTCACCCATTAAAATCAAGTATGCAACCTGGGTCGGTCTAAATTAATCAAAGTGAAACCTTAGAACCGGAGGATAACAAAAAAAAGAAAAGTTTGCAAGGAATTGTTTTATCGCCATTCTTTTACTACAAATAAAATCTTTGAGGGAGCCATATTTACTTTTGGGTTTCTGCGATTTAATAATTTATTTACCAAAAGACGAACCATAAAAATGAAGGAATTTTTTTTACTGATGAATTCGGAAAATAGTAATGAATGGTACATTTATATTTGTTTTATTACATAAATTATATTTTCTTTAAAATTGAAATTTTTATACGCAATTGCAACCAAAGAAAGGTTCGTTAAAAAAAACAAAGTTTAAATGCCCCATTGCCTCCTTACTATATTATTTGTAAGTATTTTTGGGACGTTTTGCCTCCTAAAGTTTAAAGCGTTATCTCGTTTGTCATAAATTGTTAATTTCGTCAAAAACATCATGGGTAAAATACATATTCAGTCACTCAATTATTTTTATGGTTCTGTTTCCGTCACTTAATTATTTTTTCTTTCAAAATAATCATTAAACTTAAGTTTCTATTCCATTTTAGCCACCTAATTTAATTGCACGTCTTCTTCTTCTTCTCTCTTTCTGGTTTTTCCCCTTTTGTTTAATCTAAACAAGGTTTAGATTACTTCAAACTCCGAAAAAAAAAACTAGCGGCCACTGCATAAGTTTCAAAACCTGAAGTTGAATGTTTACGGAACAGGTGGATGAAGAAATGAAATTTGGTAAAATAGACTTCTTTTATGATAGGGGAGAAGTGAGAACTGCTTGCAGGCCTCTTGAAAGGTTCCGCCATTGATGATACCTCCGCCATGGAAGCAGTTTCAAAGTGTCCAAAAATCTTGAGGAAGACAGGCTAGAATTTTCCCCAGAATTCTTCAACTTTTACATGAAATAAATACCCTTTGGGTTTTCCTCTTTGTTCATTCATTTGCAGATTGCTTGTTTTTATTTTATTTGAATATGTATGTTGCTTAAATAAGCAAGTTCCATTGGCTTGAAACAAAAGCTTCTTTTTATGTTGTGTTTAAATGAATCCATTCAACTAAAAAATAACGAAGAAATAATTTTACACCAGTGAGTGTCTTCAAGTAAAGCCTGCAAGCACCATATCATCGATATAGACGAGGATAATAATTAACTCATCAACAGATCCTTTGGTAAATAACTAATCAACCTGAGAAGAGAACGTTCAAGAAATTTAGCTTCAGAGGCGTTGATTTGGATGCTCTCCTTGATATGTCCACCGATGAGCTTGTCAAGCTCTTCCCCCCTGCTCGTGCTCGTAGAAGGTTCCAAAGGGGTCTCAAGAGAAAACCGATGGCTTTAATTAAGAAACTCCGGAAGGCGAAAAGGGATGCCCCAGCAGGTGAGAAACTAGAACCAGTGAGAACCCACTTGCGGAACATGGTAATTATACCCAAAATGATTGGAAGCATAACTGGTGTGTACAATGGAAAGACATTTAACCAGGTTGAAGTCAAGCCTAAAATGATTAGCCATTACCTTGCGGAATTTTCCATTTCGTACAAGCCAGTTAAGCATGGTAAACCTGGTATCGCTTTAGATTAGTAATTTTTAAGTATGTCTTTCATTAATTTTTAGTGTTTAAACGTGTCAAGATCAAATATTACGTTTTCTTTAATAAATTCTTATATCTTAAAAATTTTAAAAATAAATTAGAATTGAATTTGATGACTAAAATGGTATAAAAACTTAAGTTTAGTGATGATTATGAAAAATAAAATAGTTGGACGACTAAAATAGGATCGTGAGAATAGTTGAGTGACTAAATATATAATTTACCCATGATATTTTTAACATAGTTAACGGTTTAGGGCAAACGGGATAACGATTTAAAATTCAAGGGGCAAAACATCCTGAAAAATACTTTAAGGGACAATTCGGTACAAATGATGTAGCTCAGGGGGCAATGGAGCACTTAAGCCTTAAAAAAGTTCTAATGTTTGATTAACTAGTTATTTTTGTTGGTAATACAAAGATATTTATATTGGGTATGAACCATTTGGCGTTGTCTCATTCGATTCATATGTATTTTTTTTAAACAAGACCTTCCTGATAAAATATTATTTATCAGAGTTTATTTTACCATTTATAGCCGTTACAAAATATTTAATATATTTTATGGCCATTAAAATAATATTTATGACAATTAATTATTTTGTATCTGCTATTTGGTATTTTACCATTTACCCCTATATTGAATCATAAATGGATGTGGATGTTTAATTTTTTTTATTTCGTATGCAGTTCAAGAAAAATCATCCTTAAACAAATTGTTTGTTTTAGAAACACCCTTCTTGGTTTTTATAAACCTATTCAGAGTATCTTTTTGAGTTTTGAGAGAAGAGTAATACCATTAAGTCCACTCCATCTTTCGGGTGCACGAAATTTGGAGAGTCATGCTAACTTCAGGAGGTCATTCGTCCATTATAAAGATTACACACATCGAGACGAATTCGCTTCTAAGGCAGTGATTAATACCATAATACGGTTAACCGGTTCTTTGTTTAAATTATTTTATTTAATATTTTACCATTTTGAAGGGACTAAATAACAATTCTACTGATTATGGTTGATACTCTTACTCAAGTCTGAATAACATAAGCTTTAAAATTTCGGTAAAAGATTGAAATTTGATATGTAAACAATGATAGAAGTTGATATGAAGGTCAGTCATGATAATCCCTTTTGAATAAGGCTATCAGCTATCTGCGTGATCGTTCAAACATTTAGTTGACTGTTTTTGTTAAATTTTGTCTTGAAACATAGTTTTGATGTTCATTAAATTTTCTCTCGGTTTCATCATAACCCATAGATGATGCTGAGTTTTTCTCGTAGCTGCTACTAGATTGACAATTATTCTTGAATGAATAGCAATAGACCTAATGCTTCCCGGTTTACATGATTATATGATTTATGGCTTCGTATTGTCTCATCCGATATCCACAAGTTGGCTTCCTCAATGACATTTACTCTGCGTGCTTCTATGTTAGAAGTTAAACTATCTCAATGCCTTCCGAGATGATCAATTTGTCATTGGCAGAATGTTATGCTGTTTCTTCATCAAATTATTGAATGAAATGCCCATATTCATATTGCTTTAATATGCACTTTTTATCTCCTTCAGGGGTCCTCTGGTCTCAGCTGAAATAACCATTCTACTAGTGGACTAATGGATCATTTTTCAAAGGATAAATCATGAATGCTGCGGATATATCTTAAGAGAGAGGGGGTAGGATCCATTTCATGACTAAATTTTTTTAGTCTACATCTTTTCAGATCATTGAATGAATAATTTATTCTACATCTTTTCAATGAATAGAAATAAATAAATAGTATAGTTTAGTCAATCTATATCTTTTCAGATCGTTAAATGAATAATTTATTCATCTTTTCAATGGAAAAAAAATGAATAGTTTAGTCGATCATATCGTTGAAAGAAATAGACGATTTTATAAGTATACCGTTTCTATTATTATATTGCATATGCCCATCTCGTCCAAAGCTTCAATTTATTTTTGTATGGTGCCATACTTCTTGTCATAGGGCCTGGCAATTAAACCTGGAACCGAGAGAAAAAGCTAAATATTAATGGCAAAATGCAGAAAGCAAAAATGTTTCGCTCCTTATTCAATCAAACTTTGAATAAGCTCTCTTAATGTCCATGCCTTGGATAATAGAACCAGTTACATGAAACAATGAACAACAAAATTTCTTTAAATGAATGTATATTAAATTTCATTAAAGTTTAACTCAAAAAGCATTTGAACTGTAATTGGGTAGGGTGCGCCAGGCCCGAGCAATAGTGCAACACTTGGGCGACGCTCGAGAACCCTAGTAGCAAGCTACTGTGATGGGTTCTCCCCCTCAAAAAATAAATTTAATATCGTGTGAGCCATTGGCCCACGTATCAGATATTAAACTGATAAGAACAGATACTACACTTGATCTTAGCCAAAAGGCCGAGAAAGGTATGAGCTTTCCAATCCAACCCGGCCTCTTTTAAATGCACCTTCTGGCCTCGTTTCTTTATATTCTAAAGATGTGGGATAGGACAATACAATATATTTAGCACCCTCGTTGTTAGTGAATTGCTCCCGGGAACAGAACAGAATACCTTTGATTTTACAGGCAATTCATCGGAGATAATCTTTCTCCTTGTATTCATCCCCCCATAAATCTCCGTCTTCCATTTCTGGTTTCATCTTTTTTTCATGGCTATATGATCTTAAAAATAACAGATACAAACACAAGATTTGAAATCGATCTCGTTGCTTTTAAGATTCACACTTTAACTTAAACATGAGATTCGATATTAAAGATGTATGACTGTGCTTTTGTTTCACTGTTTTAACTCGAGATTTCCGATATCCCGTCAAAAAATCCAAGTCAGAAAATTTCAGTTAATCCCCACCTTTTCTCTGGTTCTAAATTTCCATTTCTTATCATAAGAGTGTGGCTTTTATGTTTTTCAATTTTAAAGCTTTGTAATTTTGATGGCAGGAGGAAAATTAATAAACTTCAATGGCTGTCAGAAAACCTGGTTTGATTGCTTTATTTGATGTTGATGGAACTCTTACAGCTCCAAGAAAGGTACTTAGTCCCTTAAATTTTGGTGATATGATTTTTGGGTTTTTGAATTTAAGTGGAGCTCTTGGCATTGTATTTTCTTCACCGTTGAGTGTATCATTGATTTGGAATGGTAAATAGGTGGCTACTCCCAAGATGTCAGAGTTCATGAAGGAACTGAAGAAGGTAAATTTTGTAATTTTAGAAAAAAAAATGACAATTTTGGAAGGGAATTTATCATGTTTTATTTGCAATTGTAGGTTGTTACTGTTGGAGTAGTGGGTGGATCTGACCTCACTAAAATATCTGAGCAACTTGGGAAATCAGGTTTGCTTCAGCTCTAGACATTGTACTTGTAACCATGAAATGTTGTTCTTTTCATTGTCTCTCTATGTTTGTTAACCATGGTTTACATTTTCGATGTAGTTGTCGAAGTGTTATCGAAGAAATAATTTTACATCAGTGAGTGTCTTGAAGTAAAGCCTGCAAGCACTATATCATCGATATAGACGGGGGGAAAAAGAATCGGCCATTTTAGATTTAGCCAACTTCCAGTCAACAAGAACACAGCATCAAATAACTTCTCCTCATCCATCGCACAGTTATTAAATATAATAACATTCCTGTTCAATCAAATAGACCAGATAAATCCAAAAAAACTCATAATCCAAATCGGTTTTACCTCCGTTTTAAGCGACTGCAGATGCCAGCATAACATTAGGGATTTAACGGATCCCTCTAAACAATCAAACAATGACAGAACAAATGATTGATGGATTCAACTTCACTAGAGCAGTAGGCACAAAAAATGTAATTTGAAACCTGTACCCCTCGTTTCGATAGTTCCCGCACAGTCGGAATTCGTTGTTGGATTACCTTCCAATCAAAGGCTTCTATTTTATATGGAGCAAGATTCGACCATACTAACTTACAAATCGGATCCATGGCTGCACCTTCACTTGCTACGACCAGACAGAACTCTTTGGATGAGTAGGAACCACTAGCCGCCCCTGCCCAATTTAGATGATCCTGTCCATTCTCACCCTCCACAGCACAGTTTAGAACATTCATAAAATTATCCATGATAGTCATTTCTCACTCGAAAAGAGGGGTCTTCTAAGCTCAATGTTCCAAGACCACGCACCACTTCTTATCGAACCAAACTCCTTAACTTTACCACTCTTCTTAATGACAACTCCAAAAATTCTTGGAAACGCTAATCTCAGGGAGGGGAACTCAGTCCAAGCATCCTCCCAAAAATCGACTCTACTGCCATCACCCACCACGCAATATAATTTGCTAGAAAAGGTATCGTCTCTTTTTAACAGGGGCGGATATATTTCTCCATATCTACGATAACTTGTGTTTTTGGATAGGTCTCCGCATCATCAGATTTGAATCAAAATCATATTTTGCATCGATCACATTTCTCCACAGACAAGAAGACTCATCACCGTATCTCCATAACCATTTATTTAGAAGAGCGCGATTCTCTATTCTTACATCACAAATACCCAGTCCTCCTAAGGCTTTAGGTTTGGTAATAGTATCCCATTTCACCCAATGAATTGACCTCTTTTTCGCAGCTCCCCAAATAAAGTTTGCCATACACTTGTTTAATGAATCCGCTACTGCTTCTGGTAAAAGGAAAAGGGAGAGATAATAGACTATTTTCTGAAACGTGAACTTCTAATGGGACTATACGAGAAGGGTTTTGAAAGACCATCTCCTATTCAGGAAGAGAGTATTCCCATTGCTTTATCTGGAAGTGATATTCTTGCTAGAGCCAAAAATGGAATTGGGAAGACTAGCATTTTGCATTCCTGCATTGGGAAAAATTGACTAAGATAACAATGTTATTCAAGGTTAGATACAATCCACGAATTTTTGTTTTTTAGAAAATTGTGTGCTTCTTTATCATCAACTATAGGCATAGCTAAATGGTAGTGGGTACTGCAAGTAGGATTTTTTTTCTATTT